GGGGCGGCGGCGGCGGCGGGGGCGGCCCCGGCGGGGGCGGCAGCGGCGGCGCCGGGGGCTACGCTCCCTACTACGCGGCGGCGGCTGCGGCCGCGGCAGCGGCGGCGGCGGCGGAGGAGGCGGCCATGCAGCGCGAGCTGCTGCCTCCCGCGGGCCGCCGGCCGGACGTGCTTTTCAAGGCGCCGGAGCCGGTGTGCGCCGCGCCCGGGCCGCCACACGGCCCCGCGGGCGCCGCCTCCAACTTCTACAGCGCCGTGGGCCGAAATGGCATCCTGCCGCAGGGTTTTGATCAGTTCTACGAGGCTGCGCCCGGGCCCCCGTTCGCAGGGCCGCAGCCCCCTCCACCTCCTGCGCCGCCGCAGCCCGAGGGCGCTGCCGACAAGGGCGACCCCAAGACGGGAGCCAGTGGCGGCGGGGGAAGTCCCTGCGCCAAGGCGACCCCGGGCTCCGAGCCCAAGGGGGCGGCAGAAGGCGGCGGCGGCGATGGCGAGGGGCCCCCGGGGGAGGCGGGGGCTGAGAAGAGTGGCGGCACAGGTAGGCACCCGGTGCGGGGTGGGCTGCTGGGCCGGGGGGCCGCGGGCGCGGGGGGGCGGCGGGGGCCTCCCTCTGCTTGCGCCGTTTTATGTGCCACTTTATAAGCGTTCGAAGAGGTTTATACATCCTATAAGATTTCCCGGGCCGTTGTAAAGTGTGTTTACGATAGGAAACCAATTTAGGTGGGCTTAAGGTAGACTTCGAAGGGGACATTAATCGCTGCAGAGAGCTTTTCCCCAGTTTGGAAGGGGGTGGTGGTGCTAGAGACCCTGGAGTGAAGGGGGGAGATTTCAAGCCACTTTGTGAATGTGGACACTCGAGCCTCCTGCTTTTAAGGGCGGGTGGGGTGGGGTGGGGAGATCCTTGAACTGGACTTTATCCAAGCCTCTGGCTGACGCGCGCTGCTGACTGGAGTAGAGCAGATGCCTGGGCGCGCTTGTGTTTCTCTCCCTTCGGGTTCCAACTCAGAGCCGGCCTTGCCCTCTGCTTCTCCACTTCCGTGCCAGGGTGTGTGTGTGTGTGTGTGTGTGTGTGTGTGTGTGTGTGTGTGTCCGGGCGTGAACACAGGTCCACGCCCGCACTCTCTCCTGTGCCCGCCCATATATCAACCCCCACGACGCAGGCAGGGCCTTCCAGTGGCGGCAGGGGACGTCCCCAAAGGGCCCGAGGCCTGGCCCTCTTGCGGGCCTGGGCCGGCGGGCGGCCAGGGGTGGGCAGCCAGCGGCGGGCAGCCAGCGGCTTCTCTCACCTCTTGGTTTCTTTGACTTGCAGTGGCCCCCCAGCGGTCCCGGAAAAAGCGCTGTCCCTACACCAAGTACCAGATCCGCGAACTGGAACGCGAGTTTTTCTTTAACGTGTACATAAACAAAGAGAAAAGACTCCAACTCTCTCGGATGCTCAACCTCACTGACCGGCAAGTCAAAATCTGGTTTCAGAATCGCAGAATGAAAGAAAAGAAACTGAACAGAGACCGTCTGCAGTATTTCACTGGAAACCCCTTATTTTGAGAGCTCCAGGAAGCACCCCTCTTCCCGAGCCCCATTCACCCACCCACTTCCCCATCAGCCTGCCCTGGGCAGGCCCAGTGTCCTTGGGTTTAATGACGCCTCTTCTCTGTGGAACTCCACGATTCCTTCCCACGGTCAACTCGGGACCTCCCAGCGACCACTGCTGCCTGCGGACGAGGCCGGGGACTTGGCCGAATGGATCCTAATAAGGGGAAAATGGTAAATGCAAACGTCCCTTTACAATTTTACCGCCAATGTGCTGTTGTTCTCCCTCCTTCTCTCAGAGTCCCTGTGGGGACGCTGTGGGATCTGTAGAGAGTTAGGCCGCTAGGCTGGAAGGTGCTTGTTTTTGTTCTGAGTTTAAGGGACCTGATCATCCCCTTGGTGAATGCAGATTATTTAAACTCTGGGAAATGTATCTTCGGCCTGTTGGTCTGTCGTATCAAGGCATAAGTCATTGTTTTGTGTGAATAAATGGTTTCTGGTAAAATGGAGGTTACAGCTTCAACACACTATATGATTTTTTACTCTTTAAAGTTTAGTGTCTCATTAGGGGATTTTGGTGGCCAGAACCTTCTCCCATATGCAACTGAAAACCAGGTGAAACGCTTTTTAATCCTGCTGAAATAAGAGTAGCTCTCTCCCACCCTGCCCAGGCTACACCGGTTTTAAAAATCACTTTAGGGATGAATTTCTGAATGAAGGCTGTGACCCAGCCATTCTGGTGCTGCTTTCTGTAGGCAGTGAGGCTGGGGCAGCAGGAACCTAAGAAGGAAGTCTACTCCCCCCACCCCCAATTTAGTGAACTTGGAATTTCTGAAGAGACAAAATTCATTTTTAAAAAAACTTGTTAGAAAATCTAAATTTAATCTTAACAAGGTGTCAGGACCCAAGGTCCCTTAAAAAAAGAAACCAAAATTAGAAAGCTTCTTTGAAAAAAAAAGTTTGCTAAAAGGGAGTTACCAGTGGTCAAGAGGGCTTGGGATCCTTGCTAGGGTCACAGCAGCATGTGGTAGAGAAGGTAAGACCCCTCCCTGGAATAGGGCCTGAGGCTGCAGACCCACTTCTCACTGCATTTATCGCTTCAAGTTAAAGAATGTGGTGGGGGCCGAACTACACATTATGTTGCTGGGCCAGGCCAGGCTGTTTACAAAACCTTGAACTGTCTAGACAACACCATAAAAGCCAAAGTTCTAAACAGCTTAATTGGGTTATATTATACACCTTCTGGTGGGCCCAAAAGAGATTTCCGCAATGTGCAATAAACCGTAGGAGTGAGAAAAGCATCTCTTTCTCTGAAAAAAGGTAAAGTGAATCATGACTCTTAACCTCTCCTAAGCCCAAAGTGTAAAAAAAAAAAGAAAGAAAGAAAGAAAGAAAGAAAGAAAATCCATAAGATGTACAGTACCCCATGCATTTTCAGAGGAGGATGCATTTCCAAATGTAAAATTTTTTTAATTGCCAAAGTTTGGTGGGGGGGGAAGGAAAAACATAAGTGCATAAGTGTATGCCTTTGAACTTCCAAAATGTCAAGGTCATCACCTTTAACCTTTCTGAATAATTAGGCGCCTTAAAGTTCTTCTGTGATATTCAGCCGCCACCCACTCTCACACAGACATGCTTACACATATCCAGACCCCCACATACATTTATGACCACACAGCATCATATCAGGGGCTCCCCATAAATCTAAGCAAATGCCTAATTTCAGGATCAATAACCTTAATTTCCCTTCAAACATTTGTGTAATTCAATAGCAGTTGACTTCTTTTTAAAATACTGGTTAGATTTAAGTGTCTACCAGCATGTTTTTTTATACAGCTAGTATATACTGAGGTGGCTTTTTTTTTTTTTTTTTTTGCGGGGGTGGGGGTGGTCACAGACAGCAGTCCTCTTTGCTCTAATGAAGAACCACGGCTTTCAAAGCAGGCATTTGAAAGAGGAAGCTTTAGTCAGATTTACACCTTCGTTGTATTTGAAAAAAACTGCTGCACCGTCAGATAAGTTACTGTGCTTTCTATGATATGGAACAAAACTAAAAATATTTATATTGTTTTCCAAAGTGTCCTTCAACCTTTGGTGAAAATTGCAAGAGAAAAATTGAATAATTTCGTTCGGAAGGGGATTCCTTTGTGTGGAATTCTGGGCGTCCGTTAAAATGTCAGTGCCCTAGTAGTATGGTCGTTGCAAGAGCTTAAAACTGCTTTCTTTCTCTCTCCATCTATCTTTTTTTTTTTTTTTTAACTGCGTCTAAATGTAGCAAGCTTGTGTGTCCAGTACCGTAGGTAAGCCGAACCAAGAGATACCATTTCCCGTTTGCATGGCCTTGGAGAGCCACACGGGGGCGCGCTCACGTTCCAGAAGCCGCGTGTGGCGGAGAGGCCGCGGTACCCTATCTTTTCCAATGCTGATTCTAATAGGCAATCTCAGCCGGTTAGAAACACGGGGCCACTAAGGTATTTGTTTGCTGTTTGTTTGTTCTAAGCAGCGACGAGGTGTGGGAAGTTGTATAAACCATATTCCTGAAACAGACAATCACCTAATCGTTGTCTCCTTCAAGATAACGCTGTTGCAAAGAATACCTTGGTATAACCTGGTGGTGTCAAGGAGAGATTTTTTTTAAAAGACCGACACATACATCTCGAAATAGGTCATGCCACTGTGAGCTAATTAAATTAGAGAAATTAATTGTCTTGTTGGTTTGAGTATGGAGAACAATATGAGGATAGGACCAACTCCTCCCCAAAACAGCGTCCGCCTGATAATGCTCTCCGACCGCCTGGGATGATTAAAAGGCTTTTGTTTAAGACTGATCCCTGCGCTGGCAACTTACCTGAGTGTGGTCTCAGAGAAAATGAGATGCGTCGGGACTGAGATGGTCGTTCTGGGCAAGGGAGTGCCCCCTAACCCGGCCATGCCTGGCACCGGGGCTGCCCCTAGTGAGAAGCGCAGGCAGAACTATGAGCTGGGGGCGCCTGGGCCAGGCTGGGCTGATGCGGCTGCAGGAAGCAGCAGGCTGTCCCGGGAAACGTTTTTACAACGGGGCAAGGCAGCATAGAATGGGGATTGCATTTGAAGCAAACGAGATTTGCGTTTGATAGAACCCTAGACACTCTTTTCAGCTGCCTGCTGGCCTTGAGAACGGAGTTTGATTTTGGCACCAGCTCTCACAAGCAGTCTTCTTGCTGCATGCCCTCTTGCCCCCCAACCTCCTTTTGCAAAGCCCCTGACTTTGGGGAGGGCCTGCGTCGCCATCCTCTGTCCAAAAGGGAGGGCTCCAGGACAGGCATGGGCTGTTCTGGGGGAGAGTGCCTGTCCCTTCTTTTCCCGAAGTTCATTGTGAAGCCCCCACAACGCCCAGAATTAGTGCTGGCCTCCTCGGCTCTGCTGCCTCTGTCTCCTTTCTCCAAACCCTGAACCAAAGGCCCCGGGTCCACCCCTGGGAGCTGGCATCAGCTTCAGTGGAGGCTGGGGCGCCATGAGCCCCCCAGTGAGGCACCAACCAGAGGCATAGGTGTTCCCCATGGGCACCCCCGGCTCCCGCCTGTCTGACCGCGGGTCCTGCTAAGCTACTGAGAAGCGACATTTCTCCGAGCGGAACCTGGGTCTCAGTCCAGGTGGGGAGAGAACCCTCCTCCCCAAATGTCGTTATATTCCTCTTCAGGCGGCTCCAGCAAGGGTGCATGTGGGCTTTCGAAGCCCCTTGGCCTTGGCTGGCAGCCTTCCTCAGACAACGGGCTTTCAGCCGTCTGCAGTTCCCTTCCTACCCGCAGCGCCCAAGATGGGTCTGAGAAAGGACAGAGGATTGGACCAGGACTTCCGGGGGTTGCGGACCCGACCCCTCCTGATTGTTCAGAGCCTGTGGGGCTCATGGAGTACAGCCATGTATTTTGATTCACTGAGATCTCATATCCTGAGTTGGAGGGAAAGTGCGCCAAGTAGGAGTCTTTTGTGTCTGGGATGGAAAGAGGCTCCCGGCCGCCTGCCCTTTTGCAGTCTCCACAGACCCTTCATTGAGTTGGTGGTGGCTTCCACAGCCTGCCCATTTGCCCCCTCGATTTCTTTTCAGATTGGCTGGAAGGTGCTCAGTGCAACCCGGAGGGGCTCCCTGGGGAAGCAGCCTTTAAAATTTGTTCCCATCCAATCTGCCCCCAGGGAATGGCACAGCCCTGAGGCCACTCAGGGCCCAAATTCAGGGCTAACCTAGGAGTCCCCAAGTTTACTCAGGCCCAGGGTCACTGTTCTTCCTGGTGACAGAAGAGCGCAGATGCAAGCCACTTCTGGATTACAAATGCTAATTTCTTGCTAAAGCGACCCTATTAAATTTTTTTCTCTGGAAAGAGCTGTGCCAGGGAGAAGGATGTCTTGGTACAAATATGGATATTCATCTCCTTTATAGTGCAATATTGATTTATTATTAATGGTAACTGCTCCAACTGATCTAAAGATGATCGAAAACAGCAGCTATGCAGCTATATTAAATACTCCTAAGGAAAATACAGGCTGGCCTTAAAAGCCACTGCCTTTTCATTTCATTTGCTTCAACTTAGCGTTAGAGTCTTAACCGAACTTGCCATCCTCCCAGGTCCAGATCATTCCCTTGTATTGTTTCTATTTTGCTCTATTTTTTATTATAAAATTCCTCTGAAATATTGGCGTCCCTGGCTTCAAGGAACTGGTCTAAAGACAGATACTTGAGAAGGAATAAAAGAGAATTTTGTGATAATAGATTCAAAATCAGAGCCGAGACACATATTTTCTGTGAATGGAGAAGAACCACGTAAAGCCAGATGTAATGTGGGGGTGACTTAGAGCCCAAAGGCCCCGAGAGTTGAAACAGAAAGGCCCCCAAATTCGGAAGGCAGATCCTGCTTGTGTTGGCTCACCATAGACCTACCCGCTCGGCGAGGAATTGCTGGGTTTTAGCCTGAATGTTTTCTTCATGTATAAATAAAGATTATGAAAGGGCGTTTGATGGGCATAAAATTCCCGATTAGATTGAACAGTCTTGCCTCACGAGTGGGATAGGGAGAATTGGAGAACCGAGTTCCAGGCAGCGACCCTGGCTGAGAGGCAAAGGGACGAGAGTCTCTGAGCGCCAGGCTGGCGTCAGGGCGCCCGCCGAGAGCGTGCGCAGCGGGCACTTTGTCCAGCCCTGGGCACGCTTAGCTGAGGCTGGGATCACGATCTCCACCTTCTGATAAAACAATTTTTGGGGTGCCGGTCCGTGGCTGTTAGCTTTGAGCAGGAGTTGCAACAGACTAGAGTCAAAAGTTGGATTTTTGTTTTCCCTGCCTTCCTCTCCACCCATCCCACCCCACCCCACCCCCATCCTCAAGCTTAAAAACAGCCACCCCTAAGGAAAGGTAATGTCTAAACCTCGGGCTTCGCCGGGCCGGCATCCCGCAGCCGGAGCAGTTAGAGGCGCCAGGCTTTTAACCTGACAATGATGTTGTATTTGAACAGCTGCGTAAAGGTTTAAAAGGTCTGTCTCATTGCCACCGCGAAGTTTTTAAAAAGGGGTTATTGTTTGGGCGAGGGCACTTCGAGGGGACAGGCAAAGTGGTCCCAAGGCCGAAAATAATGTTCAGCGCCTGTTTCCACCAGGCCGGGGAGATTCTTTTTGGGGAGGGGGACAGAGGGTTTTTGGAGAAGGGTTTTGTGAAGAAGTGAGCAGGCTCCTAGTCCCTCCACCCCAGAATGCTAAGTCGCTTTAATGAGCATCAGGCTCCAAAGAAATGTTCAGCTGAGACGGAAACCCAATTTGCCCACAAGTTCAGTCTCTGGGCCTGAAACCCAAGGCCAGCCCCTGACAGGGCGAGTGTGGGGAGAAGAAAACACAGACGCCTTTCCGGACAGAGAACTGTTTCACAATCAGGGTTTCTGGGGCCCATTTCCTCTCTCCGATGCAGGGAAGGGGATCTGGGAAGCCTGAGGACGGCTCCTGTGCCCTGGCCTGGCCCCTCAACCAGGGCAAGCCTTTGGAAATCAAGGTTAAAGCTCCCCGCTGCTGCCCGGAGGCCGGGGCTTCCGAAGGGCGGCTCACCCGCCTGCAACCAGAGAACAAGAAAGGAAGTTGTTGGAGAAGTTTCTCGTAAAACTCTGAGTTTCCATGGTGGTGATGGTGGTTATTCTTTAATGAGCTCGACCACAACCCCAGACCAAATCCTCTTTACAGAACTTTCCGTCACCAAAGGAAACAGAGGACTAAGTTTCTCCCACCTCCTTTTTTTTTTCTCCCTTCCCTTTCCCAAGCAAAATGGTGTCAAATAATTTTAGGAATTGTCCAAAACTATAAAACTCAACTTCTGACAAAAGTATAGCTTTTAATATTTGACGATTTGTGTTAAAACAAAAATTGACCTTCTTGGTTAGTAGCGAAGGGGAAAAATCAATAGTATAATTTTCAATAATTCATAAAGCGAACGCCATTATGCTAAATCTTAACTATTAATCTTATCCTTTACAAAGTCTCGATTGATTTGTTAATAAAATATCTTCCCGTGTGTGGCAACAGCGGGTATAACTCTTTAAAAACCTTCAGAAGCAAGAAAATTACCAAGTAGCCCAAGAATGTAGATGAGAATTTTATTGATCGCCCTGATTCTTCTTAATATGTATTAATAAATTCCACAACCTTTTGTACCTTGCACTTGTCAGAAACCAATGCTTTTACAAAATCCATAAAAGGAAAACATATTTTTCTTTGCAGAAGAACCAAATGACACCTTTGCATCTCTCTCACTCCTATTCGGCCCAGCCAGTTTTCTCAAACTTCAGGAGTCTGAGGGCGAGAGTTTTCCCCTTTCCTTGAAAAAATTCTTTTCTTTCTCTCTCCCTTCCTTCCTTCCTTCCTTCCTCTTTGCTCATTATTATCAGGGTGTGTAGGGAGGGAAATCTTGGTTTAGTTCTCCCGCTGGGAACCGGAGGGACGCTTTCGAGGATAGCCAACTGCTGGCGAGGGGTTGTCTCCGGGCTGAATGCTCCCAGCGGCCCGGCCGCAGAGGTCGGGGTGTGGTTCCTTCGAGAGAGCCGAAGGCTTGGGCAGTTCGCCCAGGCGCGGAGGGGCCTGGATCCCGCATCTCCCTCGGGCTGGAGGAGGAAATGGACAGCGCCAGGGCCGGCCAGTCCTCGGGGCTCCGGGCCAGCCAGCTTGGCCTCTTAGCCCTCGCCGCCCTTCTTGCCTCCGCTCCCCACGATAACTTGATCGTGTCTTTGAGTGAGACATCCTTCCTGTGGCTCCCTGGGGTGGGATGTCTCTGAGCACGGGGAATCCGACTCACCTTCCCACGCTGCCCGGGAGAAAATTAAGCAGCCGCGCCCCCACCCCCCGCCTGTGCCCCGGCTTTCGGGCGCGTTCTGCCTGGGTGTGTGCGGGGGCATGCTTCTGTGTGCAGGCTCACGGCACTCTGGCTTCCCTCCCCGCCCGTTCTCCCGGACGCCCCTCCGGCTGAGGCTTTCCTTTCGCTAGCGGGGCCCAGAGGCCGGAGCGGGGGACGCGAGTGGGGCCGGCCGGCTGAGCGAGCCCCGGGGAGGCTGGCGGGCGACGGAGAGCGCTGGACCGGTTGTCTCCAGCGCGCACTATCGCGGGCGCGTAGTAGATGTCGCTGTTGTCCGTGCTTACGCGGCCGGCCGGCCGGGCTCTGGAGCACGTGACCTGCGAGGAGGCTGCGGCTCAAGGCCATTTTCAAATCTCATTGGCTTGGTTGTCATGTGGTCGGCAGAGGCATCCACAATTACACGGGGAATGTTTTCCTAGAGATGTCAGCCTACAAAGGACACAATCTCTCTTCTTCAAATTCCTCCCCAAAATGTCCTTTCCCAACAGCTCTCCTGCTGCTAATACTTTTTTAGTAGATTCCTTGATCAGTGCCTGCAGGAGTGACAGTTTTTATTCGAGCAGCGCCAGCATGTACATGCCACCACCTAGCGCAGACATGGGGACCTATGGAATGCAAACCTGTGGACTGCTCCCGTCTCTGGCCAAAAGAGAAGTGAACCACCAAAATATGGGTATGAATGTGCATCCTTATATACCTCAAGTAGACAGTTGGACAGACCCGAACAGATCTTGTCGAATAGAGCAACCTGTTACACAGCAAGTCCCCACTTGCTCCTTCACCACCAACATTAAGGAAGAATCCAATTGCTGCATGTATTCTGATAAGCGCAACAAACTCATTTCTGCTGAGGTCCCTTCGTACCAGAGGCTGGTCCCTGAGTCCTGTCCCGTTGAGAACCCCGAAGTTCCTGTCCCTGGATATTTTAGACTGAGTCAGACCTACGCCACCGGGAAAACCCAAGAGTACAATAACAGCCCCGAAGGCAGCTCCACAGTCATGCTCCAGCTCAACCCTCGCGGCGCGGCCAAGCCGCAGCTCTCGGCCGCCCAGCTGCAGATGGAAAAGAAGATGAACGAGCCTGTGAGTGGCCAAGAGCCCACCAAAGTCTCCCAGGTGGAGAGCCCCGAGGCCAAGGGCGGCCTTCCGGAAGAAAGGAGCTGCCTGGCTGAGGTCTCCGTGTCCAGTCCCGAAGTACAGGAGAAGGAAAGCAAAGGTCGGTATGAGCAAGTTGCCACCCCAGCGGGGCGTGCAGCCCGGGAACCCGGCGGAGAGGGAGCGCCTGGGTGCCCAGCATTGAGCCAGGGCAGCTGAGGCGGGGCCCGACTGGCAGGTGCCGCTCCTCCTGCCTTTTAGAGGGGCAGTCTCAGTCTCGAGATGGTCCCCGCTTCTCCCCGGCTGCCCTGGCCCTCCTGGCTAGTCCTGGCCCCACGCTGATGGCGCCTGGGCAGAGGAAGGGCTTGCCGGGTTTATTTTTCCTGAGCTAGACCTGAAACGCAACAAAAGAGGGCAAATGAGACCTGCGGCTCGTAAACACGGCCCCAAAACCTCCTTTCTCCTGCTCAGATTTGCAGTCCCAGCTTTGCCTTTCACCCAATGATGATTTTAAGGCGGTCCAAGGCACTGTGTTCGTGTTCAAGTGTATGCACCCCGCATCCTGCGAGCTTGGGGGCGGCAATGGGAACGAAATGACTGGGGTGGTTGGCGCTGGGACTGGGGAACAGGGCTCCCAGCCTCTGCAGGGTTAGGTAACCTTGGCTTTGTCTGGGGGAAAGTGCCGTAAGCTTTGCAGTCCATTTGCAAAGAGGGCAAAGGCTGAAGGGGGGGGAGAATGGAATCTGCAGGGCCCACTCGGCAGAGCCAGCCTTAGGGCTGGGCTGGGGCAAAGAGCCTGGAGTGCTGGCTTTTTGAGAAGGAACCCTGCCCTTAAGCCTCCCCCTCAGTGCCAGAGGTGGGCCACAGTAAGGAGCCACATTTCTGGGGGTGGGAGGATGCTTTTGTGTGGGGACAAGAAAGCATGAGAATGCAAGAAATTCTGGGGAGTACAACAATGCCCCAGGCAGGTCGGAGAAGGTGTACTCGCTTCCTTGGTTATCTTTTGAAAGAGAAGGGCAACTATCAACCTGGTTGTGGGGCTCCTCGCCTGGGCAGGAAAAGGGGGGAAGAAGTGGCAGACTTGGGGATGTGAGGCAGCCGTGGGGTTGGTAGTCTTCTTCAGGCTGTGGTTTGCTTCTTCCACTCCAGCCCAATTATAAGCTGCCCAGTTAGAATGTTGTTGGGGAGATCCTGAAACTTTACTATTGTATTGATGTTTTGTGCAAATCAGAAAGTTGAGAGGAGAAAGAGAGAGAACCCTGACACCGAAGGCAAGAGTACCCGCCCATCATGTCATTTTGGGCATTTAAACTAATCTGGTGTCAATTACAAATCCTTTCCAGGGCCCACCTCATATGAGTAATGTTTAATACCAGCATTTCCCAAAGTGGCCTGGCTGCCAGCAGGGTCATGGCCAAGGGTACATTTGAAAAGACTGAGAGAAAAAAAAAATTCTTGATTTTTTTTCTTCTTCTCCCTTTAATTTTGTTAGAGGAAATCAAGTCTGATACTCCAACCAGCAATTGGCTCACTGCAAAGAGTGGCAGAAAGAAGAGGTGCCCTTACACTAAGCACCAAACGCTGGAATTAGAAAAAGAGTTCTTGTTCAATATGTACCTCACCCGCGAGCGCCGCCTAGAGATCAGTAAGAGCGTTAACCTCACCGACAGGCAGGTCAAGATTTGGTTTCAAAACCGCCGAATGAAACTCAAGAAGATGAGCCGAGAGAACCGGATCCGAGAACTGACCGCCAACCTCACCTTCTCTTAGGTCCCAGGCCTGTCGGAGGCCAGGATCGGAGAGGGGGCACCGCGTTCCAGGGCCGAGTGCTGGAGGACTGGGAAGGCGGAAACAAAACCTTCATTGCTCTTTGTTTTTTGTTTTGTTTTGTTTTGTTTCCTGCTAGAATGTGACTTTGGGGTCATTCTGTTCGTGCTGCAAGTGATCTGTAATCCCTATGAGTATATATATATTAAAAAAAAACTAGCACGTGTAATTTATTATTTTTTCATCGTAATGCAGGGTAACTATTACTGCGCATTTTCATTTGGGTCTTAACTTATTGGAACTGTACAGCATCCATCGGTTCACTCATCCATCCAGCAATGTGACTTTTTCATGTTTTTCCTAATGCAAAAGGTCTCTGTGTGTGGTTAGTCCATGATCTCATGGCGTTTTTGAATACATTCAGTACTTAAAAGTACTTAAATTACATATATATTTAAAAAAAGATTAAGAAAACCCACAAGCTTTGGGGGGAGGGGGACTAAAAAAGCACATTACAATGTATCTTTTCGCAAATGAATTTAGCAATTGTCCTTGGTGAGATGGAATATTGACGACTTATGCCTTGTAGCCTTCCCTTGTGGTGCATCTGTGGTTTGGTAGAAGTACAACAGCAACCTGTCCTTTCTGTGCATGTTCTGGTCGCATGTATAACGCAATAAACTCTGGAAACGAGTTCGCTCCCTCTGCTTTCTGAAATGGACCTATGTTGCGATGGAAATGAAAGCCTTTGGTGAGATTATCTTCCGGTTAAATTGCTTGTTTGGGGCAGTTGAGGATGGTGACAGAGAGCAAGAAGGAGGAAGATGGGAGAAGCTGAAGGAGGCCTAGGGTGCTAAAATTTGGCAGTGGTTGGTGGAGGGGAGTGATAATCCAGCCTGGGTGTGCTGTTTTCCTAGCTGGGAAGAAGGGGAGTCTTACCCCCACCTCCCCAGGATAGTAACATAATTGAATTCTAGATGGGTGTATGTTTCCCTCTAACCAGAGCCTAGTAAGACCGTGCCCCGCTGCTTTTTTCCCCACAGCTCCCTTTTGTGTGTTTTCCTGTCTTTGGTTTTGGTTTTGTTATTTTCTAACACTTTCAGTGGGGTCTTGGTGATATCTGACTGGTGTGCCATCATCAGGGGCTAGGTTGAAACCAGTCTGGCCCACCTGGAAGCCGCCGGCCTTCCTTACAGGAACAAGGACAAACAGCAGCTAGCACTGCCACGGTTCCAGTTCTGCCCCCTTCCTTGCCCTCACCCCCACCCTATCCCAAGCGCAAGAAGAGCCAGGCCACAGCGAAGCCAAGGATGGGTGAGTTTCCCCGTCCCACTTTGCCCTGGTTTCCTTGTGGAAGGATTTCATGCTCAGTCATTAGCTTTCAGTGACCCACATGAAATTTTCGTAAAATTTTCTAGAAAGATTCCCTCTCCACAGGTAATGCTCCCCTTATTTAACTATAAACTGCTGGGTGGAGCCACTGTATCGGGGAGACAAGAAAATGTACAAAAGGTGACTGAAAGGGACTTTGCAAATGAACATGACTTCACATGAAGTCCAATATTCCAGCTGCTGACCCAGCTTGGAAAACTCCATCCAGCCTTCACCGAGAGAGTCCAGGCTTATCTAGTCCTTTGTGGGAGAAAGGAAAAGAGGCCGTAGAAGGAAGAGCCAACAGAGAATTCGTTTCCTCATGTTGTGTTGTGGTTTCAAAAGGTCTCCACCGAATTCAAGGAGCTTCACCAAACACATCCTTTTCACTTTTTCTCCCCATGAATCTATTTATTCAGGGGCTCTGAGCCTTACAGTTCCCATCAAGGGAGTCTTTGGGAAATTCAGTATTTATTCAGAGTTTTAAACTTCCTCCTGAAAACCAAGAACCTTCCCCAGTTCCAAGACAGAACCCTTTAGGGGAGCCATTTCTTAGGGGTGGGAGAGAGAAGGCTGGGAATCAGTGCCAGGTTGGAAACACAGGAGTAGATTTGCCCAGACCTCCATTGGTTGGGCTGGAGAAAGAGGGCAATTTTAACTTATCCGTTTCCTCCCTGCGATGTGGGGAGCGCCATTAGTTGTTGACAGGGGGCCATGTCTCAGAGGAAAACCAGTGCTACAGGCAAAGGCATCGCCTCTGGAACAAAATCAGAAAGCCATTGGCAAAGGCAATCAATCAGGCCATAAGTAGCCATTTACCCCCTTCCTTTCCGGGGCTCGAGGTGGGCTGGGATCCCTCCAAGGGTGCTCTGGGCAACTTGTAGAGTGAGGAATATATCCTCTGCCGCCCGCTCTCGGGCTGCTTTTGTCTCGGCTCCCAGCCGAGCTTCCGAGGCTTTGTACCATGGATTTGGGAGTGACAATGGGCATTTCCCTCAGATTCAAGGCTGCCTAGGCTTACTTCTGGAGAAAAAAAAAAGAAGAAGAAGAAGAAGAATTCGGAAGACAGTGGCGCCACAAGAAGCGGCCGCCCGGCCCCGGGGAGATGCGGTTCCCGCTGGCCTCTCTGAGGCAGGCTGCGGGCGGTGGGCGGGAGCGGGCCTGCGCTAGCATTTGGGTTCTGCCCTATGGCGTGTTCTCTTCCAGGGCCTCCAGCAGCCCCGGAGAAAGACAGGGCATCCTGGCCGCCACGGCGGTCCCCGCGGTGCCTACGCTGCAGTCTGCCAGCACTTCCGAGGGCACACAGAAGCCCCAGCGGAGGCCGCCGCAGCACCCAGTTGGCGGGCCGGGCTGCCCCAGCTCACCCCTCGGGCCGTGGCGTGTGCTTAGCCTCACGTCGGGGGTGTGTGTGGCTGCGCGGGCGTGTGTGAGTGTGCTAGGGGGAGGAGGCCCTCCGAGCTGCTCCATCCGTCCGTTTTATTAGGGACACATTAATCTATAATCAAATACACCTCATAAAATTTTTATTGAAAGGCATAATATCATTACAGAGGTCTTCCACCTGTTTTAAACAACACGACAAGCTGTGAGAGAGCGTGTGTGGGTATGTGTAGGGAGGGGTGCGTTTGGGTAGCGAGAAAGGCACGGGGGAAAAAACTCCCCTCGGGCGCCAGGGGGCCGCCTCTGCAGGCCGGCCTGCCTCGGGCCGCACGCCGCCCTGCGTGCCCTGGGCCGCCCGGGGCTCTGGCCCAGCGCTCGGTGCGCCCGGGACCCGCGGCCGGGAGCTGAGTCCACGGGCTGGAGAGGCAGCGCCTGGTTCTGAACTGCAGGACCGAGGACGGCAAGAAGAGACGAACAAATAGTCCCCAGCGCCTCCTGCGGCCACGGTCGGGCGTAGTGGTTCTAGCCACCGCCAGTCTGTCCGAGCCAGGCCGGACCGAGCTGGGCGCACGGACCCGGCCCATGGGCTCTAATTGCGGCGCTTATGTTGATGATGATTTTTTTTTTTTTTTTTTTTAAATCACAGCAGCCCCCAGTTTAGCGGACTGATTTACTCCGGGTATTGGTAAATATGATCACGTGGGCCGCGCGACCAATGGTGGAAGCTGCAGCCTGCGAACTAGTCGGCCGCTCCGGCGCCGGCGGGGAGCGGCGCCGCGGCGGGCAGTGTAACCTTGGGTGGGAGCGCACGGCGCCTCAAAATGTCCTCCAGTGGCACCCTCAGCAACTACTACGTGGACTCGCTCATAGGCCATGAGGGCGACGAGGTGTTCGCCGCGCGCTTTGGACCGCCGGGGCCCGGCGCGCAGGGCAGGCCCACAGGTGTGGCCGACAGCCCGGCTGCTGCTGCAGCCGAGTTTGCCTCGTGTAGTTTTGCCCCCAAATCGGCCGTGTTCTCCGCCTCGTGGTCCGCGGTGCCCGCCCAGCCCCCGGCGGCGGCGGCGATGAGCGGCCTCTACCACCCGTACGTGCCCCCGCCGCCCCTGGCCGCCGCCGCCTCCGAGCCCGGCCGCTACATGCGCTCCTGGATGGAGCCGCTGCCCGGTTTTCCGGGCAGCGCGGGCGGCGGCGGTAGCGGCGGCGGCGGGGGTGGAGGTGGCCCGGGCCCTGGTCCCAGCCCCGGCCCCAGCGGCCCACCCAACGGGCGGCACTACGGGATTAAGCCTGAAACCGGAGCGGCCCAGACCCCTGTCGCCGCCACCTCCACCTCCTCCTCCACTTCCACGTCTTCCTCTTCCAAAAGGACTGAGTGCTCCGCGGCCCGGGAGTCCCAGGGGAGCGGCGGCCCCGAGTTCTCCTGCAACTCGTTCCTACGGGACAAGGCGGCAGCGGCGGCTGGGGGAACCGCGCCCGGGGCAGGGATCGGGTCCGGGTCCGGGGCAGGAGGCTCGTCGGAGCCCTCGGCTTGCAGCGACCACACGAGCCCAGCCTGCCCACTAAAGGAGGAGGAGAAGCAGCATCCGCAGCCGCCGCAGCAGCAACTTGACCCAAGTAAGTGCAAAAGAAATTGCCCCCTGATTTATTGCTGAAACCTGTAAGGCTCGAATGTGCAAAACTGATAGTTTTACTAACCTATAAAAACGTCTAGACGCCTACTCTAGCCTAGGCGAGCAACACGCATCCATAAAAAGCTTCCCATAACCACCTACCTAGGCGCGCGGTTTGTACGGTAAACAGAGAGCGGGCATTAAGGCTTTTTATGATAATTCCCCCCAGTTGTGAAAAGCGGCCATCCTCGGTGAAATTAATTTAACGACCTCTCTCCCCCACCCTGTCGTTTCTCCTTGCCTCCCCTCCGCCCCTCGATCCCTTTCTCCAAACTCCCCTCTTCATAGATAACCCTGCAGCAAACTGGATCCACGCTCGCTCCACCCGGAAAAAGCGCTGTCCCTACACCAAATACCAGACGCTTGAGCTGGAGAAGGAGTTCCTCTTTAACATGTACCTCACCCGGGACCGGCGCTACGAGGTGGCAAGGATTCTGAACCTCACAGAGAGACAGGTCAAAATCTGGTTCCAGAATCGTAGAATGAAAATGAAAAAGATGAGCAAGGAGAAATGCCCCAAAGGAGACTGACCCAACGCGGCGCTGACGGGACCACTGTGCGCTGCAAAGGCAGTGGGGGTTTTGTTTGTAGGTGCTGATTTCCAGAAACTCTCCAGCGATTCGGACATTTCCTCCCCCTCTCCCTTTTAGGTAGAAGTGACTGTGTGGTTGGTCTCTGTGAGGTATTTGGGGGACTCTGTATTTGCTCGCTTTTGTGTTGGAGAAACGAAGTGGCTTTGGGTTTTGCCTTTCCCCTGCTCCCTCCCTTTCCTGAACCATTGGTTCCATAGGAAATGCTATATTTTGTGAGTGCACGCTGGATTGAGGAGCCCTCCCCTGTGTAAATGTCCCCCTATGTTTCTGAAAAGTGCTGTAGTTTAGCCCCCAGCGCTGCTCAAGCAGGGGCCAAGGGCGCCCCACTTCTGAGAATGAAGGCAGAGCGACAACGGTGGGAGGCCCGCCCAGGTTGCCCACCAGTTACGAAAGTCCCCTTTCCTCAGGGAACCCGCGGGCCCTTCACTGAGACCTGAAATGAGGCCGAGAGGGGAGCCCAGGGCCTCTGGTGGGTGGGGGGTTTATTCTTAGTGCACTGGAGGGGCCGATCGCTCCTGGGGAGGGCTCGGCTTGCGTGGGCGGCCGCGGGTGTAGGCCCTCCGGGTTCCTGCCTGAGGACCAGTTGTAAATGTTACCGCTTCCTACCAATAAATGCTGACCTGATCAAACGGAGCCCAGACGCTGGCCCTGAACACTGTGTGCCTGCTTTCTCTGTCTCTTTGCAAAATACCACCCCCACAGGACTTCTCTCCCATCCCTGGGAGGGAGACACTGCTAAAAATCTGGGGCCCTTCAACCTAAGGTCCAGTGTGCCTCTGAGTCTATCCTTTGTGTGGGCAGAGGGGGGCCCTTGGCTGCTCTTTCCTTTCCCCAGCCTGCTTCCAGCTTCTCAGCCAACTCCGGCCCTCGGCCCAGTGTCAGCTTCACAGCGGAGCCCCCGGGCCCCAGAAGCCAGGCACCCTTTCGCAGGGACGTTGGCACATCGCACCCCGTTTCCGCCTGCTCAAGGGTACCAAGCCATCCCCTCCCCTCTCTAAACATGGGAAAGGCCAACCGCATTCTGGAGCAACTCCCCCACCTCCAAAGGCTGGCTGGCTCCTGGAGGACTGAGCCAGTTAGGCTGCGAGCTTCCACCCTGCACACACTCAAGAGCCCCAAAGTGACCTTAGCAGATCAAAATGGTCAAGGCTCTCCTCCGCAGCTACCCCTACCCCATCTCCGTGCCCCTTCCCCCCCTCAGTTCCAGTGCAAGTTTAGCCCCCAGCTTGGCCCTCTAAGGTCCACCTTCAGGAGCTAAAATGAAGGTCATTGTAAGTGAAGGTTCGGGCCCAGCACAGCTTTTGCAGGCCGGAGAGTGGGTGGCGCCGGGTGGCCTGGGCTAGGTGGAAGAAGGAGGGTGGCAATGGCAGAGTTTGGGGGGATCCTGATGAAAGAGGGGACTTGAAGGAAAAGCAGAGGGGGGCTGGGAGGGAAAGCCAAGGCCCAGATCCGGCAGAAGGTGCAGCGTACCCCCGCCCCTGCGGCCAACCCGATACCTAGAGCTCTTTGAAAACAGGAAGAGCCAAGGTGTCATAAAGCCATCGAGCCGGCGAGACGTCTGGAGGTAATGAGTTTACGACAGGCTCGGCGCTTCGCTTTGAAACCATCTCATTTTGATGTTGTGTTTGTGGGAGGAAGGGAAAAATGCAGACAAAACTGGGTCTTAAAATCTGGACAATAAAATATAAACAAGACTGTGTTGGACCAAGAAGGCAGGGGCTTGAGAGTTCCCCGTGAGGTGTGAGCACCTAGGAAATAAAAATGGGGGAGGGTAGGAAAGAGGAGATGATAATATTTCTGATTTTTAAAACAGGCCGGGTATTAGAATTAGTCTATGGTGGGTGGCTCTTTATAATAGTTCACTATGGCGGCGGTCTAGCTTGTTTTCTTTCTTTTTTAATTGGCCTGTTATTTGGGGAGATGTTAGTGATCTTGAATCATTTACTGGAACCCAGGGTCTCCCAGCCAAATCGTCGCAGGGAAAGATGTATTTAAATGCCCTTTGATAAAAGTACCTGGCCCTCCATTCCAAACTTTGCAGCAAAAGTATTGTTCTAAATTCTAAATTCTCTTTGCATATAAAAAAATGTAATCGTTACAGCTGAATTGGAAGAAAACATTTTTGAAATTGAGAAAAAAGATTAACCTCGAAGGAAATACCTCAGTTGATTAAAGTCTTTGCTTTAACAAAAATTCAAGTGGAATGCTTAGTCAGTTTATCTCACTCTGTGACTTGTGATATAAATTTAAAATCTCATTTATTGTGTATAGAAATGCCAATAAACACAGCCAAACAGGGCCTTTCCAGACAGCCGCTCAGAGATCCAGCAAAAAGCAAAAAGCTTTTAATTTGGTTTCTAGTTCTGCCTTCCAGTAATCTGTCCCCAGATTGCCCAGTGAAATGGGCCTGAAGGATTAAAAATAAGAAGTTAAAATAGCAAATATTCAGGATTTACTGCTGAGCAACAAGCTTTAAAAGAAAATACCATAAAATGAACTATCATTTCTTCGTTTTCGAAGTGCCTGGCTCCTCTGACAAAAAAGCCTGCTGTAGTTGATATTTAGAAAGCTGTAATTTTTCTGCAGTCCAGCCCGTCCTGTAATTGTGGGCGATTACAGAATGGGGACCTACTGTGTCTGGCAAAAGAAGGTCTGGAAGCTTTTGAAAAGACACTATTGGAAGCTCTCGGGAGTACAGATATCTTTGGCGTTCAGGAGCCCCTGCTCGCTGCACTTGACTTGTTGACAATCAAAGGGATGAAGCATTATTAGTGTCAACGATCCAAGCCCCAGTCAAAATAAAGAACAAGATTAGAACTGGTCTGAGTCGGATAAAGGGAAGTTAAACTCGGTCGACTGGAGGCGGCATTTTGCCACTAGAGAGCGCTGTTGCTCCACTTTGTAATCTCGTAAAGCTGGCGCTGCGGCGAGGAAGGTTTTGATTTAAAATATTTACAATCTTTTTTTAATTCTTAATCAGGATAAATTTAACCAAAAAGGAAGCAGTGTACACTATTAAATTCTCCAGGCGTGTTTGTTAGGTATAAAATTTTGGATTAGTCAGGATTTCAGAAAATTTGGACTATGGCACAGCTGAAACTATAAAATGTTATGGTTAAGTTAATGCAGTCTATCAAAACAAGCATGTTAAAAGCATAGATCTTTATTTACAAAGTTAATCGCGCTCTTTTCCCATTCAGATTATAAACAGAATGCTTGGGGTGGGGGCGAGGGGGAGCTATGTGTTTTGTCCCAAGAGGAAGTGTGTTGTAATGCTTTCTTAATTAGGCCAGAAATGTGTAGAAATGAATTTCGTAGTATTTGTGTTTCTTTTCTGCGACCCACCCACCTCCAAGGAAAAACACAGTTCTGGAAGGTGCCTTGTAGTATTGACATCTGGGCTCGCTCTTCTTTTTCCCATTCTGTTCCAAAACCCATTCATTGATCCAGAGTTTAAACAACGCACAAGCACACACACCAAACAGAAATTTAAAAAGCCAAAATTACAAAGTTGGTTCCAAGGCTTTATTGAGAATAATTCTCTTTTAATTGGGTATTTGCAAGGCTGAAATACAAATCGTTAACTATCAGAATAGGTTTGTTCGCCTTCGGATTTTAAGGAAGTTTTACCTGGGTATATCCGGCAGAAAACAACAAACCCCATTCCCCTCACCCCACCCCGCACCCTCCACTCCCCACTCATTTAAAAAATAAGGCATGCCTTTATCATCTGGAAATTCATTAACCATCCGTTTACCTTGACCATTTTCAGCCATTCTGTAGAAACAATTGAAAGAGTATTGAACATTATCTTGTTATGCCTTTCCGTCTCGATCTCATTTTCTCCATTTCCAAAATATGATTCAGTCCACACGGACTGACCTTAGGATCGCAGTCACAGACAGGACCAACCCACAAGGAGTAGGGGGTAGTGGAAATGACTGGCCTGCTGCGCCTTTGGGGGCCGTCTCGGGTTTTTAGATATTGCATTTGGCGTGAAAGGCCGGCGTAGTGTGGTTTAGCTTTAGCCGGAGCGCCCTCCGTGGGCTCGGGGCATGTTTCCGAGGTCAGTTAAGGCTGGTGTGGGCCTGGTGCCCTCACAGCAATAGATTATCCCTAAGGAAAAGGGGCTCCGGTCATTTGAAGAGCCCACGAAAAAGGCCGAGTCGGCGAGGGAAAACGCACTCAACACAGACTTATTATACTTATTGGACATTAATACGGGAGTAGACAGGGAGGAAAAAAGGAGGTATGAAGAAGAGAAAACGGCGGTTAACGGCGAGCGGGCATGTAAAACCAGGAATATTTTGCCGATTCACATTCGACTTGCCCACATGACACGGGACGTTTCTCCTCCTCATCCTTCAAGCTAGGATGACCTTTCTCTTTCCTTTCTTTTCGGAAAAATTAGTAACTTTTTAAGCTGAATCCAGCGCCCGCTCTCAGCAGTCACTTCACAGGCTCGGCAGATGAACTAGAATCATTAGCAGACGACGGGCGCCGCCTGCAGCTGCCCGGAACCGGAGCGATCCTAACACCGGCCCGGGGCTCCAAGTGGGGACTCGCAGGCGTCGGCCCCCCGCGCTTCGCCCGGGGCCACCGCCTGCCCTGGTCCGCTCCGTGCTGGGGCTGAGACCCGGGAGCCGCGCGTCCAGCTCGAGGAAATACCACCCACCCGAGCGTGAGTTCTCCTTCCCGCCTTAGAACATTTCTGTCCGCTTTTCTATTTACTCCCTCAGCAATGCTAATCTGCCCGCCCCCGCCGCCCCCACATTCCTCAGTTCCCCCTGCGCCTGGTGCTGACGTCTATCAAGGGTGAAATGATGGAAACTATATTCATAGGCATGATTTCCATTAAATATCAATTAACCTGGGAGCCTCAGCCAGGCGTGCAGTGCGTCAAGGGTAAATGTACATCTCATTTCCACAAGGCCTGCCCGCCTGGAAAAAAAGGCCGTAGATTCGCTTTGATAATGCCAGGTTTTGGGATCACCTTTGTGGCCTTTTAATCAAACCACTCCGGACCCAACCCAAATGTACGCGGTCGGGTCAGTCTACACCACTTGCCCGTGTTCCCCGGTCTGCGCCCGCGTGTCCAGAAGCGCAAAAGCCACGGCCAACCTCTGGGGGTTTGTTCTAGGGGCCAGAGGAGGGAGTCATTTGCTGCCCTGGCCTCCTGGGAGTGGCCTTCCTTCCTGCCGCCCCCCCAAGTGTAAGGTTCCCTCGCGCCCCCGCCACGCCAGCCGCGAGCCACATTCCCTGGGCCCCGGGGGGCAAGGCGAGCCCTTGGCAGTGCGGCTTTATGGGCCCCCTTTAAGGCCGGCGGAGGCATCTCCCGGCCAGCGTGAGGAGTCCCGTCGGGAGCAACGGTGTCGCCTCCGCGCGGATCCCTCCGCGCGGTTATCTCGCCCCCATCTTCTCCACTCAGTGGCGTGGTGCGAAAATGCCTCGCCGGGGCGCACCGGGGCGGCAGCCTCGGCGGCGGCGGCGAGACCGGTGGGAGGGGGCCGCGGGGGGGCCGAGGTGAGAGGTGGTGGCGGGTAGAGGGTGTTTTTTTCTCTTCCCTCCAGAGCGGGCGTTTGTAAACCGAAGCCAAAGAGTGTCCCCGTGGGCCGGGCGCACTTTTTTTCTTGTCCCGGTGCGCTCAGGGCCGCCTGGTGCCTGAGAGGAAACAGTGGAGGCAGCGGGGCAGGTCACCCAGGGCGTCGGCGATTATATTGCGGCCGAGCCGGCGCGCGCCGGGAGAGCCCGGGCGGGCGGTGAGCGCGGGGGCTGGGTGAGGCCCCGCGACCCGCGAGGGAGGCGGCGCGAGGCCGAGGCGGCGGGCGCGGGAGCCGGACATGAGCGTCCAGTAGCCAAGTGCCCACGGCGGCCGGGCCTCAGAGGCGACGCGCGCGCGGGCGGGTGGGTAGCAGCAGCAACGTAGCCCGGCGGCCCCGGCGGAGCGAGCAGCCGCCCCAGAGGCCCCCGCGGCAGTGCGGCCGCGCTAAGGCGCGCTCCCTGCCTGCTGCACACCGCCAGCCCAGGACCGCCCTACCTCGGCCCCTGACCATCGCCGCCGCCGCCCCGATGAGCTCTTACTTCGTGAACCCGCTGTACTCCAAGTACAAGGCGGCGGCCGCGGCGGCGGCGGCGGCGGCGGCCGCGGCGGGCGAGGCCATCAATCCCACTTACTACGACTGTCACTTCGCGCCCGAGGTCGGCAGCCGCCACGCCGCCGCCGCCGCCGCCCTGCAGCTCTATGGCAACAGCGCCGCGGGCTTCCCGCACGCGCCCCCGCAGGCGCACGCGCACCCGCATCCGTCGCCGCCGCCCGCCGGGCCGGGTTGCGGTGGTGGGGGCGGCCGGGGCCACGGCCAGGACTACTTCCACCCCGGCGGGGGCAGCCCGGCCGCAGCCTTCCAGGCTGCCCCCCCTCCTCCTCCGCATCCTCCGCCTCCGCCTCCCCCCTGCGGCGGGATTGCCTGTCACGGGGAGCCCGCGAAGTTTTACGGATACGATAACTTACAGAGACAGCCGATTTTTACGACCCAGCAAGAGGCCGAGCTGGTACAATATCCTGACTGTAAATCGTCCAGTGGTAATATTGGCGAGGACCCAGACCACTTAAATCAGAGCTCGTCTCCTTCTCAAATGTTTCCCTGGATGAGACCACAAGGTTGGGATGCATTTTTTTTTTCAATGCGGGGAGAGTGGGGGGAAATCTGCTTTCATCTCACGTTCTAGCTTTAAAACTACCTTTTCCTTGCCCTCTCGTTTTTCTTATGTAGCTATCGTAGCTCTTATTCATAAAGTAATACTTTTTTTTTTTTTTCGTAAAGTAGAAACCGCGTAAAGATGATGGGGACAGTAATTGTGAAGACCTTCTCTCTGTTCCTTTTGCCTGCATATCCTGTATATATCAGAGCTAGAGACTTGTTTGTATTTCATCCTTTAGACACGTTCCAGAAAGCTCCAGCAACCTGCAGAGGCACCATCACATTTCTAAAACGCTTGTTTTCTTTCTTTCTTTTTTTAAATCAGCAGCTCCCGGTAGACGAAGAGGAAGACAAACCTACAGTCGTTTCCAAACCCTAGAGCTGGAAAAAGAATTCCTTTTTAACCCTTATCTGACCAGGAAGAGAAGAATTGAGGTTTCCCACGCCCTAGCCCTCACGGAGAGACAGGTAAAAATCTGGTTCCAGAACAGGAGAATGAAATGGAAAAAAGAGAACAACAAGGACAAATTCCCAGTTTCCCGACAGGAGGCAAAGGATGGGGAAACCAAAAAGGAAGCCCAAGAGCTGGAGGAAGACAGAGCTGAAGGCCTGACAAATTAACTTCTACCTTTAAAATTTTACCACAGACTATTAAAACTAATGATCAACACATGCTGTTGGACACCATCTATTTTCTTTGTTGGAAAAGACTTTACCTGTATTTCAAGCTACCTTCATGTCACTGCTCTTGAGGTTTCTGCGCTTTGAGAGGGGTTTGGGTGTTTAAAGTTTCTAGTATCACATAGAAGCAGTCCTTGAGCTGTCCTATGTAAGGGTAATTTGATACTGACCTTGTTGCTATATTTTTATAATGGTAGTTTTTAATGTCTGAGCTGGTGATTTGCCTCAACAACGTAAACTTCCTAATGATTAGCACTAAATAATTGAATATAAAATGCTTTATTAATCAAACAAGTGCACTTGAACACTTAAAATCATTTCTTTATGGTGAGTAAATTAAAAGAGATCTATTAATTTTTTTAAAAAATTATGCCTGCAGAATATTTACTTTATGTTATTTGATTAAAGCGTATTATTTATGTTTTCTTTTTCTGCTTTTATAATGAATGGTTCGGGTGCCTTTTGTTTACTTCTACAAGGTTTCTTTGAGTATTTTGTAAATGTAATATCTCTGGGAAAATTCTGGGCCAAATATTCATAAAGCACATGTTAGCTGAAGAGTGTAATGTGTCGTCCGGCTCTGCAGCTTCCTTAAACTTGGGGAAGATGTTGGGCCAATGACAAAAGTTTCAGGAAAATGTCATAGTTGATGTTTAATAATTTTCTGTAGTCTATACATATTGTGGCAATTTAATAATCTAAAGTGAATGAATACTTGAAAAGCCAATTATAACATTTTCACTCATTAACTTTTCACTCTGGCAAGTCACCTTGTGAAATGCCTCTCATTTCTCAACTTGCTTTCGTTTTGAACTGCGCTTGGTATTGCCTGAAATCGCTAGGTCTCTATGCTGTGGCCGCTGCTGTGATCCGTTTTTTGAATAGGTGCCATATTTATTTGTATTTCCTTCGCTCTGTTTTGCACGCCCATTTTGAGCCAACTTGTGTGCGCCTCAGATGTCGGTTGGTACGTCCTCTGCTGTTCTCCAGGATGGCCTCACCTATTGAAACAAGCCCTGAGAGCAAATGCAGAAAAATCTGAGTGTAAACAACCGCTCCAGAACATAGCTAGCTCCTTAATAAAGAAATGAATCATTTTTAGAGGTAGTGTCTTTGAGCGCCGCACATAATCCTTTTCCTGAGTCAGGAATCACCATCTGGGCTACTGGAAGGCAACGTTTCACTAAAGCTTCTATTTGATTTAAAAAAGAAAGAAAGAAAGAAAGAAAGAAAGAAAGAGAGAAAAGAAAAAAAAGGAAAGGAAAGAAAGAAAGAAAGAAAAGGAAAAGAAAGAAGTGGGTTACAAGCATTCCTTTGTAAAAATAAATAAATAAATGCAGGGGAGGGGTCTCTTTTTCATTCCAGAGAGGGCTGGCTAGGCTCAAGATCCTAGCTGCATCTTGCTCTAAATAACCTTGCTAAGATACTGTGAAAGCTTTGAACTTCGCAAAGGACTCAAGTTGTGGGCCCAGTGGGGGAAGACCCAGAGTCCGGGTTACACCACAGATTATTCCGCTGAGCCTGTGCTGATGCTGGGGTTTGAGATCTGTTATTAACAAGATATCCATTTTCCATTGGAGGCTGCTCCTGCAGCTGCCATTTTATGAGGGAAGAGGAGGGGGAAGAGGGGTAGTAGAGAAGAGGAAAAATTCAAGTAAACTAATACTTCTCCCGAAGAAACGGGAAGCATCTCATAAGGTAGACATTGACAGGCTCTTCGCATTTTTTAGATGCGTTTATTTTTAAAGAGGTACATTTTAATTTCCAGAGTGGTTTTTATTGCACAGGTAAAAAAAAAAAAAAAAAAAAAAAGATCTCTCTTAGGCCTGAATCAGCCCCTCAGGCATTGGTGGGCTATTTGCCTGCCACATCAAGGACCTAGGAAATGTTGGCACCGGTGGGGCCAGAAGTGAAACACCTCCTAGCTTTCTATCCAGGGAAGAGGCTGTGGCCATGGCATTCGCTGACCTGAGCCAGGAAAGACAATTTTAAGTCACGGGTGGCCTGCAGCTTAAGAAACATTTGCACGAGAGGAGACAGCTGCAAATGTGCATGCTGGATTTGGAAACGTTCTGCTCCGTGTGCTGCTTGAGACTCTGCTGTTGGCTTCTAGAGCAAAGATGCCAAGCCCCTGAAAGCATGGCTAGGAAACAGCCTGTGGGGTGGTGGCAGTGGGGGTTGGTAGAGTAGAGGTGGCAATGGTGGTGGCGGCCACAGGCTGGCTAGAGCTTCTTGCTGCTAAACTCCAGCTGCCTTCCATTTAAGTGATTCCTGTATTAGCAAAATTTGCTGTCTCCCACTCAAAAATGCTCCCCAAAATGCAGTTATAGAGTCACTGATTTGGGGCAAGACTCGGGACCTGGTGCATGAATGGATGTGGTAATCAAGAAATGAAGAGGAGGTAGCAATGTCCTTATTTCCTCTATATTCTGTGTTGCTCTGGAAGTGTTGTACCTTCTTGACCCATCGCCCCCAACCCATAGTAAAATTGTAGCTCTTGACGGAAAAAAATTCTGTTGTAGTACGTGATGCACTGAAGAGTATTTGTACATATACAAATTTGGTATTCTGGGTATATATCTGGTGTATTTGTACTTACACATAGATTACAGATTGCAGAAAGTGTTGGTCATAAATAAATGTAGGTATATATGTTTCTTTTTGTAGCTGGGGAAATCATAGATCTGCCTTCAAATAAAGAGCTTGGGGAATTACACCTCTCTCTCTCTCTCTCTGTGTGTGTGTGTGTGTGTGTTTGTGTGACACACACACCACCTTCTTTTAGTGACTAGAAACTCCCCATCATGGTGTTTCATGCAGACAGACTCGAGGTGAGGAGCCCAGAAGATACCCTTCTAGTTGGCTCAAATCTGTAAACATCTGAGGCTTGCAGCAAAACGAGCAAACATTTTTGCTGCAGAAATTTGCATAAACCTTCAGACAATCCTTTGAAAATCGAGCGATGCTTTTTGGCCCTGGATTGTTTAGAGTCTGCTTAGAGAGGTCTGTAAACCGTTTAGAGAAAAATAGGACCCTCCAATGTTAACACTGAATGAAAGAACCAAGCCTTCCAAGTGATTTAGGTTCTCTGTTTGCAAGAGCCAGAAACACACAAAAGGGTGTGGGTCTCAAAGGTTTCTAGAGAAAAATCAGTTCGGAGACTGCCATTTTGTGAGGTTCCACAAAGCCCAGCACATCGCCTGGATTACAACTCTGCACAGGGGAAAAAGTGCAAATATGGCTGCCTTTTCAAAAGTGCAAAGTCTTTTCCCAGACCCCCTTCCCCAGGCTGAAAAGGAGGGTCATAAAGTTCGCTTTTATGTGGCTAGAGGAAAATTGGCAATTGAGATAATTTCTTAGAAAAATTTTAAAGTGAGCAATCTCTGTTCAGTTCCATGTGTACAGATCAGTGTAAAGTGTTCTAGCTTGGAAGGGCCCCAATATTTGCCCCACACATTCTTACACATTTTCTTTTGTAATTAAAAACATTGTTTTATTATTCTTCAATGCATAAGATGTTGCTATTTCACATCCAAGCTTGTGTCCTCTGCTTCCCTGGTGTTTGCTGATTCTTCTGGAATCTGGGGGTGGACAGGGGAATAGAACATTTTAATGGACCTTGGATACTACTGTGGTTCCCTCCAGTAGAGTTAGAGCACACTGTCTCTAGAAAGAATATCACTTTTGCTGACAGATGGCAACAGAATTCCTTTAATAAAAAACATCCAAGATCATCGAAACCTTTTCAAGGGATACAAATGGCCTGCTTTAGAGGGTGCTGTGTGTTTTCTAAGTCTCTGTTCACTTAGGTACTTACTGGATATGATGATGTTAATAGCAGAAAAGCTACCCGTAGACATCCAATGCAAGTATTTATAAATGCATTACTAGAAGTCCAAAGATGGTGTCCTTGAAAGGATGGGGGGATGGATTACCTCCTTCAGGCAGGTTCTGAAGCCTGGATGGTCATGCCCATGCATTAATGATGAGGAGAATGCTGGGGCCCTCAAGGACATTTACTTTCAGCTGGTGTTCTCTGGAGCAGCTTCTATCAGAAGTACAAAAGGAATGTGACTCCTGCCTTTGAAGAAAAAGGACTGTTTTTTTTCCCCAAGGCTGAAATCGAGGGTCCGCTCTTTACTAGAACAAATGGAGCCCCTCTCTCCTTCAATGTTGCATTAAGCAGTCTTTTCGATGGACAGACATTTGGGGGGCAATGGAAGAAGGGGAAACTATAATTAAATTGCATAGAAATAAAAACTGCACTTAGGGGAGACATAGCAAGGGGCTTCATAGGGGATCCAGAAAGACTGCCTCCCCTTGAACCCAGCACTCTCCAGGAGGATATTTCTGCCAAGATAAATGCCAAGCATTGGGAGTTCAAATGTTATTTTGGAGAAGTTGACAAGTACCTAAAACCATTTCCAGACTTTGAGCTGGTTGGTGACTCTCCTACCCCCAGAAACCCCAAGAAATGGGAGGGACCCCAGTTTGTGTTGGAGAGGTGTTAGGGGGAGGGCGGGCTTTCTTGGCCTGCAGAGCCCAGGTTTTCTGCGCTAGATGACTGGGTCTGGATTGCCTGGAGATGAGAGGGGCAAAAACCGAAAGTGCCTGACTGCCGCTCGGGAGCGGGCCTTTCTGTGACGGGAGGGGAGGGGAAGCCAAGTGACCCGCGCAAGGAGAGTCGGAGGGGGGTGACTGCCAGGAGCACCTCCCGGAGCGCCTGTGCAGTACACCGCATTCATTTCCCAACACAACGCTCTATTCAGCAGAGGTTTCGAGCCAAACCAAAAAAAGAGCAAAAGAAATACTTCCTAGAAAAGGTGAGAGTCAGGAACCATGGAGGCAAGAGACGCAGAGAGAGCCAAGAGGAGCAGAGAGGAAGAAAGAGAGGAAGGAAGGAAAAGGAGGAGGAACACACTGAGAGAGAACAGAAGATAGCGGGGAGAGAAAGAGGAA